ACATAGCGTTTATTTAAATATTCTTACATTTTATGTTTATTAGAAAAAGAAAAAAAAAAAAAAAGTCCTTGAATTTCTGAATATGTTTATAAACATCAATTAGCCTTATGTCGAGGAAAGCGTTAACTCATCCAGTTTCAGGAGAAGAGCTCTTTTAGCGATTGAAAACTGCCGTTTTTTTCAGCGGTAGCCTAAAACGGTAGTGTCAATCATTAAGAGTATTTTAGCTAAATTAGAAGATAACGGTAGTTAAAATTTTTAGATAACGATAGTGTTACTTGGCATGTCATACTTTTATCATATGCTCATTTGAAATGCTTCTATGAAGAAAAATTTTTAAGTACACATACGTTTATGTACCTCTGTGCAAGAATAAATTTGTTTTATATAAAATGGAATGCTGAATGTGATAAACAATAACCATTTTCCATAAATATGCGTTAATTAAAGCAATAATTTTTACAGAAAAAAAATTTAGGTAATTTAAAACTTGCGCATTTTTCTCTGTTGAAACTAATGAGTACTTCCTTAGAAGACCCTGAAATTCAAATCGAATTTCTAAAAACATCATTACACGGAAGAAAAATTCAACAACCACAATTAGTGACAAACAAAAGACAGATTTATCGCAATATGTATGAATCAATGCCCGCCAATCCTTGAAACTTTTTCTGGGGGAAAAGTCCATTAACTTGTTTATCTCCTCCATTCGGTAAGTCTGATACGAGAGCAGCCAGTTGTTTGGTTTATTGTATGGATTAGAGTTAAATAGTGTTCAAAAAGTCTTACGTCTAAGTATTTGCTTGCTATGCCAGTTGGGAACAAACCTGTTACTCACTTCCAATGACTCATCCCACCCCAAAGAGGTCGCCAAAATTCGACCTTTAAAAGTGATTCGAAACCTCAAAGCCTCCCCCACAACTTGCATTATCTGAGATTTTCCCTCCTACTGGGAGACAATGACTCACATTTCTTGGGAAAGGGATATCTGCTTGTTATTGGAGCATCAATATTGAGTTACTCAGTCATCCAAAGTAAACAAAGTGGACCAAATGGCACCATTGACTGGTGAGAGTGACGTTAAATATATAATATGAGCATGTGAAAAAAATTAAAGTACAGCGCAAACACAACGAACGCTTTTTGAGCTCCAATTTTCTAATTAAATAATTCTGTCCTATTTTATTTATTATGAGATTATAAATATTGTGTTTTATTTTTAACAGAATTCTAAATTATGTTCTATTTTATTTTTATGATTATTATGAAATTAAATTTTATTTCTGCCTGAGAAACGTGGATTGGAATTAAAAAAGAATTACACAGTTTACTCCAAACGTGAAAAAGTTTTGGAATGGATGTACACATTGCGACCCGGATAAGCCCCAAAGTATTCCAATAAAACAAAAATATCAAAATGCGCGATTTAATTTATATGAAGATATTGTGAAATACATTAGCTATTATTAAAATATCTTTTAAAAATAATTACCATGCAAAATACGATTAATTAACGCCTACTATATTTCAGAACGAAGAAAGCCATTTCTAGAAAATACCTATAATACAGAATATTCTTTAAATATTCCCAAGGATCATAACAGTCAAATGTAATTTAAGACATGACGTCAATACACCTGATCCTTGTCATCCATTCTCAGTTTACGTCAGTCGTCAACACGTCAAAAGTCAAAATGAAAATCGAAGAACTTGCAACTACAGTCAAAGATCCTGTCAATCACAAGTGAAATGACATCAACGTGAAAATTCTAAGTATCAAAAACCGTGTTTAAGAAAATGAAATAGAAACTTGTAAAGTGTACGGGATTGTTATTAAAGCATTAGAAATTTTTTTTTTTAAACTCTTGCATTCTCAGCAACTTAAAAATCCTTTTTTCGGCTCAATGGTGCTTTCTAAAAAAATTTTGATACAAAGTTAAAAAGTGAGCCAGCATTCAGCTTAAAAGGTTATGAAAATTGAACCCCCGAGCAAACAAAAAGTTACTGCAAGTATAAAAATGATGGAGGATTATTTCTAAAAGAAACGACTCGTTAATTCGTGCTCGTTCTGGATGGTGAAAACCACAGAAAGGGTTTTAAACAGCGATTCTCAACCGGGGGGGGGGGTATTCCCGATTAGGGGCATTTCATAATTTTTTGGGAGGACGCGGTCAGGTCTTTATTTACCTGTTAAGTATTTAGTTTATGAGTATAAAAAATTACTTTTAATAAGTTTTGGTATTTATCAACGTTTTCTATGTATTTTTTGTTTAACTTATACAACACATTAAAAAATAATCTAAATAATTGTATTATAAGTATTTTTGGAGTTTTGCAAAGAAAGGGGGAGGAATTAACGGTTATCAATGGTGAAAGGGGTGCATGAAGCAAAAAAGTTGAGAACAAGGGCACTGGAAATGAAATACGGTAAGCAAGTATCAATCCTCAGTAACTTTACTGCTCGCAACTAATGGTTTCAAGTACAAAAACTGATCTTAATAACGTAGAATACAACTATAAGAAGTAATCTTTTACAAATGTAGTCACTTTTTACGTTATTTACCTAGATTCTAGGACAAAAAATTTCTTCTTGGCATAGAGGGTAAAAAATAGTTGCGTGAAAATTGCACTGCAGAATACATGCAGCATAGAGATAAGAACGATTTTATACGATGAAATGAATACCCTCGTCTTAGCTCTCTACTCTCCAAAACGCTATTTTGATTTAAAATATATTTCATTTTTTATGACTGGTCGAACTTCCTGTACCGCCAATAGAGGCTTAACAGGACTTATTGGAGCTATTTAATTAAAGAAACATTGAGATCTAAAACAAAGCCTAAATCAGGCCCATTAAGCAGTAGAACTACCACCATACTACCTAAAATAACTTTAAATACAATAAATAACTAAAATATTAACTTAAAGTCTAGGAGCTGATGAGATTTACCAGCTACACCAACAAAAGCACATTATTACGTACTTATTATTACGTAAAATATAACACGTTACTTACATGCATAAAAATATATTACTTACATATACAAATAAATAAAATAACAGAATATCATAAACATCCTTACTTCGACAGCGAGTTAGCTATTAAAAAAACGAAAGCTTTCAGATTTTATATTTCGCTTTTGAAATCGCCGCGTTTTTTAAATCAAAAATTCGTTAATGTTTAACAAAATTTGAAATACATAATAAAACAAATTCGAAATTTGGTTCTTCGATGAAATAATGCCCATATTCGGGTCGTGGACTGCGTTATTCAAAATTCGATGGCTCTAGTTATTGTTTGTTTTTTCACAATGCGAGAAACATGGTGGCAACAATCTGAAAGCGATTTAACGCTTTTAGTGATACCACGCAAAATGCCGTTTTCAAACTAACAGCCCTTCTGGACTAACACCCGTTTGTGCTAATAAGGCTAGACTTCGCGTATGGAATGAACGTCATTCATCATAAAGGATGCATATTTTGCGGGATAAAGATTCAGTTATTTGTAAAATAAAATCCCCACCCTTCTGGGCAGCAGATGCATGACATCTTGCGAGAAATCGGTCAATAAAACTAGATTAATAGAGGCTAAGAAAAACGGATCATTCGGCAGGTTAGCAACAGGCAATAAGTAAAAACACTGGTATTATCGGATGAAAATTAATTTCATTTGACTATTTAATTGAAACGTTTTCATAAGATAATTTTTTAACTACTGTAAATTATGAATTTATTATTCATGTCTTTTTACTCTTCTGTTGTTCAAAATAATCCTTGCTCATGATAATCAACAATATTTCTCAAATTTCAATCCTTGAAAATTTTAGACTTTGCAATATCATAAGTCCTTTAAACAAACTTAGTTTTGTAATATTTCGCATACAGTTTATTGAACTAATGCAGTATAAACTGTACAGATAATCCGAAATTTAATGAAATATAAATATTTTGAGGGCTAGCTCTAACTTTCGTTGGATATATTATTTATTTGATTGAACATTAAATACTTCCAAGTCATTTTATAATCTGAAATAGTTCTCTTATAAAGCATTAAAAACATCAAGCATCCTCGTGAACTAATCGCGTGTATAAATAGTTTTATGGTTTCTAAGATGCCCACTTTTCTGCATATTTTGCACAGTATTTGCGTTAAGTTCTTGGTACTGTTGTATTTTAGGCTGTACCTATACATTTTAAGCAAAGCTTTCCGATGTGAAATTTAAATATAAAACTGTGAATTTTTAACATTATTAAAATTTTGTTGAAGTTTCAAGCTTTAAAAAAAAAAGCAGTCTGATAACATTGGCATACTGAACATCACACAAATTAGTAAGCAATAAGAATTAACATTTGATTGACAATAAATTAAGTCTGCAAAGATTAACATCCAACAGATGACACTTAATATGCTTTTGTTTGTCTTGGCATACGCTATGCAACTCATTATTCTTATACATTTATTCAAGAATTTTAAATGTATTAACAATTTAGTAGTACACAGAATGTTTACTGAAACAAAAACTAGAACTGTCAATAAAAAACATTCCAATTAACGACAGCAATTAAATAATTAAATTTATAAAATCTTGAAAAATTACATTTACTATTTAAGATCAAGGTTATTAGAAATTTTTGTACCGCCGACCTTTTCTATAGAAATAAAAATTTTCTCAACGGGAAAAAAATATAATTTGTCGAAAACCATAACTTAGATTTATCGACCTTTTAAAATATAGGGAAATTTTCCATAAATAGATTGCAAAAATTGAATTATTAAAAACTATAAAGGAATAGTTTAATTTACAATATATAAGCCTTATAAAGACACATATTAAAGCCTGCCTAAAAGAGTAAATGAGAATGTAAACTGCTGAAAGATTTAATACATAAAGATGCGTATATCAACCCAACACTATTGTTAAACACAGAAGTAAATATCACTGCAAACAAGCAACAACTAGCAAACTATCTAACAAGCAAATTAAAATTATTTTACATACCAATGGCCGAAATGAAATTATTCCACTGTAGACACTTTTCAAATTGATAATAACAGAAATCACATCAACGGCTATTTGTCACTAAAAGTTCACCATTATCACCCACTAACCGTTGTCAAGCCAGAACTTGCAAATCATCTTTAGAATAAGAAATGAAGTGGGAATCCTTCCGTGGAATGCACTTACGAGCACATGTTTAGCTGAAGTTTTGCTACCTCCCTAAAGAGTACCGTCCCTATTCAACGTTGGAAGTGATATGAGTCAGCCTCCTCGAACTAGTAGTTCAAGTTAAGGCGTGTAGGGATCACCGGTGCGGATTTTTGAGGTGAGAGAGGGAATTTGGTAGGGACTCCAGCTACCCTTGGACTAACACCGGGGGAAATAGACCTAGACGCAATAGTAGAAGATAATATTTACTTAGGGAGGGGGTTTAGTTTAATTAAAGTGTAGCTAGATGAATAGTTATTTCATGATAAGACTTTGTAACTTTCAGCGCGTATATACGACATGTATGGCTATTTTTTTTAAAGAATGAACTGTATTTTGACAGTGAACCTAATTTTTGAATTTTTCAAGGTTTTTGTTCTTTTTCTTACTATACTTTTATGGATGTATTTTTCTTTTAATTCTAAAATATAACAGAATGAATAACTGCTTGTGTTGCTACTTCTTATTTATAGAATGTTATATAATTTCGTTTTAATTTTTTCTACTTTTTCACATTTTTTTTTAGTCTAAACGGGCATTAGCTCAGAAGGGCTATTAGTCTCGAAACGACATTTTGCGTGGAAAGTAAACTAAAAGTCATTAATTTAAAAAAAAAGCGCTGAATCACTTTTCAAATTATTGCTACCAAATATTATCCCCTGTATTGTATTTAAAGAAATTAAATAATGAAGAAACTGCAAGTACGTACGTATGTCTCTTGCACTGTGAAAAAACAACAGTACCTAGAGCCATCAAATTTTGAATAACGTAGTCTTCCACTGGGAATACGGGCACATAGAAGCTTGAATTTTGAACTTCAAATTTGTTTTATTACCTATTTTATATTTTGCAAAACTTCAACGAATTTTCGATTAATAAAACTCAAAGGACTACATTCTTAAATGCAACGTATTAACAACCTACGCCCGGGTTGTATATTATGCTTTCCTGTTTTCAAAATTTAATGTAAAAATGTAATGTTTGCAAACAATAGCTAACCAATCGCTTCCTTTTTACATGGCCGAGTAGTTACACTGAAAAGCAGTGCTGTTTCGAAATTACAGATAAAGGTATTTACGTATTATCACAACCACCTTGATGTAGTTTGGCGAATTTTATGGAAGGAAAAGAATACTTTTATTGTAAAAAATTACATATTACATATATACGTTGCTACCGTACACTCCGACGAAAAATCTTCGACTTACTGATTACTTAAGTTGGCGAAACTTAAACTTTATTTAACTTAAATTGGCCAGTTCTTAAACTGGGCAAAAATTATTGTTCATCCACCTTTACATGATATAAGTACTATTTTGTTCATATATAACAAAAAGGGGCGTTTATAATTGAAAAAAAAAATTTTAGAAGAGAAAGCAAAAATCTATACAATCGAAATTTACATTTTCGTAGTTGGCAGATAATGTCTAATTAAATATAAAACTTATAAATCCAAGTGTACTCAAATACGTGTGTGTTACGCGCATGCGAAGAATGGCTGTTCTTGGTATACTTGAAAATACACCAAAAACCATGGCATTCTACTGAATGTTAAAACCGGGGTGCGGAGGATAAAAGAGTCCCTAATTTCTAATAACCAAGTATAGTTCACATCTTTCTATTGGCGAATAATGGGATTAAATTTATTACAAATCTTCAAATGTTCTATTTTAGTTATAATGTTTTCGAATAAATATATTATAAATGCTTTGAAAAATGTTAAAGTCCCGTGAAACAAAAATCCATAGTTCCAATATCTAATTTGAATTAAACTTGAATTTCTCTTTGAAATCGAAATTCCAAGTACTATATTTACTCCAAAATAATTCTCCCTGGAATACAAGAATTTTCATGTATTTGAAGATAAATTTTAAGAAATAAAAGTGTTGAAAAATACTTATTTGGTCTTGTAGTAATTCTGATAAAAAGCGAATCTCAGTTTTTATTATAACACTTTCGAATTTCTTCGAAATTACAGTATTATTAGTGGTGGCTTCATGTGTAATTCAGTTCATTCCTTTTGTCCGGGCAGGGGTGCTAAATGTGTATGGTTTAACAGTAAAGAAAATCCTCTAACTCTAGTCCCTCGCGCATTCCCCCCTTTTTTTATTATTATTATTAATTTTATAGTCGAAAATCGGGAGGGGAAAATCTTAATTTCCGAAGGAAGCGGTATAATAAAACAATGTTGAAAAATTAACAATGGATAAAATACAGATAACCATCACAATAGTATCTCTTTAAAAGAAATCTACATTCCAATAAAAATATATAGAAAATTAGGATTACAATATCTAATAAGATATCTGCATATCTACCCCTCATTTTCCTGTAACGTGAATCTGTCCCGTTTTCATTGTTGTCTCTGCTAATTCTTCGGCCTCAAATCATCCATAAATAATTAGAGAATTAATTTGTGTTTGCTTCGCTGTGATTGGTCGATTATTGTATTAGGCTGGCCTAATTTCATCAGTTAGAAATGAAAGATTCGGCGTGACCTTCACAGGTAGATTGGGTTGGTTTGTCTTAACGAACAATCACTAGGTGTTAATAAGACGAAAACAATCACTACGTGGAAAAATTCATTTTAAAATTATAGGAAGCTTCCTCTGCGAACACACTGAGGGTGAGGAATATTACGCGAATACTTTTAAAATGTTCAGAGCCTGAAAATTTTTAGAAATTTTTAATAAAATTTTATTTACTAATTTATTTCAAATATTTCTTTTTATTAAAAATCTATTTTGATACTTTTAAATCGGTCAGAAAAACTTGTTGTGACTCTTGAATATTCTTGAATTTTGGCATGCGGCTCCAACTGACATGACCTTCCCCGATATACCATATGTTGTTAGAAATATACTTAAATTTGCAGCTCTCACGATAAAAAATTATACTTATTGCAAAATGTTTTTAGAAATACAAATAAAATAGCTTTTTAAATGTTTCACTTTCTCGTGTTAATTAGTAACGCATTTCTATAATACCGAAGATAAATAAAAGACCTTAAATATTCTTGATTGGCAACAACGTGCTATTGTGTTTCCGGTCTTTAATTCCAACGAGCAGGAGTTTTATCTGTAACTGAAAACAATGCATCTTTCCGCGTATTAATATAAGTTTTAATTTCTCGAAAAGAATTAATACACGCTTTTAACTTTACGTATCAAAAATCGATACACTTTGTGTTACATTCGTATTCTATTTATTTATTTATTGCACAATCTGTTATTTAAGAGTGAAACTAAAATGCCGTAAAAGCATGTAATAACAGGTATTGAACATGCATATGTACTTTTAATTTTTCCTCCTAATTTTCCTTTCTGAGAATTATCTAAACAGTCTCTACTTTTATTTAACGGTTCGGAAAACAGATCTGATAGTTTGTTAAGTCTTTTGTTATTCATGCTATAGAGTAAGTTGTGGTCACTAAGTTTCTCAACCAGCTCAGAAAATCGTGCTGACTTTTACAAATAAAGTGGAACTCCATGGTGGGAGGAAATAGAACAAGAACTTTGTGTGTCCCTTACAAGCGTTTGGAAGTTGACAGCAGTACACAAAGGAGCCCCCGTTTCTCTTATTATCTGCTGTATACCTTGGAGATTAACAGAGATTAACAAAACTTTTTAAAATTACTTCACGAACGAGAGTCACGAGACGACTGCTGTCAATTACTCCCCGAACAAATGAACCAGACTAACATGTTAAGACACGAAGTTGCCCACAAACCAACGTTAAAACTGAGTCTCTCTTTTCTTTCACTTGAAATCGAAACTATACACTGCAAATATATTTATTATGTGTTTAATTCCATATCATTTATTTTCATAACATATAAGGATTCATTAACATATAAGGATTATCTGCGCAGAGATATGTTAAAATTAGTATTCACTATCATGGATTGTCAAAATGCTGAAGAATGTCGATGATCGAAATTCTTGATAAGCAGCACTGATTATTTCCCATAGAAGAATTTTTTGAAAATTAAGCTAATCCCCTCCCTTAATGAGTTTCTTAACCTCGAAATATTCGAAAATAGAATTTTATTTGAATGTGAAATTATTTTCTTTACTTATCTTTCTGAATAAGCTGAAAACTGTTGATATTGCATTTCAAAACTTTCCAGAATTCTTAGAAGCGAAGAAATAAGATCGAATTGTCTTAGAGTTTTACGTTTAAATTTGTATCTCCAAAATGGCGTTTTTTGTTTTTCTTTCAAACTGCAATGCTTGGTGCTTTGCCAAAGTAACTTTCTTTTTTGATGACATTGACAAAGTTTTGCTTCATAACATTAAACTTCATACTACATAAATTACTTAATATCTTCACGAAATTGTTTTCCTGTAATTCTTTCCTAAAGAATGAGTTCTAATAAATATGCCATTTTAGAAGTCCGATTTTGCTTAAGAAAAGGGATGTTATCATGCTATATACAAATCTAATGTATATTCTGAGTCATCTTTTTTAGAATGAACAATGAATTTTAAATTTCATCGATCGCCCAAGAAGAGTAAAAACCCTCTGACTCGCAGGAAAGTATTTTAGGTGAATTGCAATTGTAAATTACTCGTAATTCTTTACAGAAACTGCTCAAAATAAAATAATACACAACAAAGTTTAAAGAATGTATGACAATAAATTTAGTAATATTTTAATCTTTAACTACCGTAATTCGGTAGGGCAAATAGTGACCTTTTCGGATCTTTTCCATTATACGACAAGATGCGCCGAACAATTTCCTGGAGAATACCTCCTATTGACCATAGTTGTATTAAATGACTGTTCTTATCTCTTAAAATAGTCAATCTTATTCCTTTCGGAGCAAACATTGTTAACAAAAAAATTTTTTAAAGTGCGTTATTGAACCACCAGTGGCCGAGCAGTTACAGACAGATGAATACTGAACTTGTTTAATGAGAAATTAAACTCAGAAGTATGGAAGTTTTTTTTTTTTTTTTTTTTTTTTTTTTTAATCTTCTTATACGTTGTTACTCCTAGTCTTGCTACTCTGGCAGCATGACCGTTTTCGTGGTTTTGCCT